AGCTAATTCTTCTTACCAAGGGTGTATTACATTTGCTCAGCATTGAATGATATGGAAAGAATGGCCTTTCTTTTCTGCATAACTGACTTTACTTTTGTTCATAGGTTGAAATCAGCCCTTCCATTTCACTGCGGTATTATATTGGTGGTATTTTTATTTGGAGGGGGGAGCTTTCTTCCACATGAACTTTTGTTACAAATCAGTTTATTGGGGCCAATCAATGGGCAAGACCTCTGAAAGGGTGTGGATTATCTGGTTAGTCCTTTGTGTGGCAAAAGGCTTAGATGTTGCTCATTCTTCATCCTGTAAAGAAGTGGGTTTTTTTTTTGAAGGATCAACACCTAACTGAGCCCTGCCTTTTTCATGGTAATGTTTTCACCTGAGTTAATTCATATGGAACTGAGAATTAGTTAACTAATACTTATTTAACCTTGGAACAATGTTTATCATAATCCGATTGGCAGATAGTCATTTTACTGAGGTCCTTTCTTTACAGCATCGGGACTAGCTAATCTCAATAATGAGTATGTTGGGTGAGACTTTTTTTTTTCCCCCCAAAATGGGTTATCACTGCTGTTCTTCTTTCCATCAGGGGCATGTTTGGGCACTGTGGACTTAAGACCAGTAGCCACACATGAACAAGATGAATCTCCCATCTTAGGTCGAGCCCCGTTTAGAGCTGCACCCCCATTGCGTGCTACTGCTGGCTTTTCCCGTCACATTATCCAGTGGCATTTGTTAGCGTGAGTGCATTCAGAGCAGCTTCTTCATGAGAAAGCTTCCATCTGAGCGTTACCACTAATTAATATACAAAATGACCCAGCACAACTTAATTATTCAGTAATGTTTTTCGGTGTTTTCTTAAAGATGATGCTTTGTAAGTCAAGGCCTGAACTTGCCTGGGTCGTGACCTCTTTGCAGTGTTTGCAGTCTTGTTAAACAAGAAGAAAAGCAAAACATAAATTAGCGTCTCCATTATAAGTTGCTGTGCATTTCCCAATCTTTCAACACTATAAAGAGTGTAGTCACTGTTACTACTGTGAGAGAAAGTTTCAGCTTTTGTAATGAGCAAGAAGATTCTTCCTCAGGGCCATACATTGTCCTCTGCCAGAGAGAACAAGATGAGGGAGTTTGAATTAGAACTGTGGGGTGTTAAAAACCTAAGGGAAAAGAGAAGTATCATCTATTTTTAATTGTAATAAGGCTGAGGTGAGAAGATCACTTGAGCCCTGAAGTTTGAGAACAGCCCAGCAACACAGAGAGACCCCATCTCAAAAAATAATAATAAGCCAGGCACAGTGGTACATGCCTGCAATCTGGAGGCTGAGGCAGGAGAATTGCAAGTTTGAGGCCAGCCTCAGCAATTTAGGGAGGCCCTGTCTCAAAAAAACAAAAAAGAAAAGAAAGAAAGAAAAAGTACTGGGGATGTAGCTAGTAGTAAGTATCCTGGGTTCAGTCTTCAATACCAAATAAAATAAAAAGGGCTGGGAATGTAACTCGGGTAGGGCACTTGTCTAGCATGTGCAAAGCCCTGGGTTCAATCCCCTTTACCTCAAATAATAATAATAATTATTATTATTACTATTTTTGAAATAAGAATATACCAGCACATGGTACATTTATTACCTGTTAGCCTTCAGGGATGTGTTCCCAAGCTTGCCATTACAGTTTAGTATTTAAAAAAAAAAAAAACAAAACAAAACTTTTGCTCGATAGGGTGGTGCACACCTATAATCCCAGTGGCTCAGAAGGCTACGGCAAGAGGATTGCGATTTCAAAGCCACGCACTAAGCAACTCAGTGAGACCCTGTCTCTAAATAAAATACAAAAAAGGAGTGGGGATGTGGCTCAGTGATCAAATGCCCTTGAATTCAATTCCTGATAACAAAACAAAACAAAAAATAAAAAATAAAAAAAACTTTTGAGTAAAAAAATAGCCACCATTTTTATGTTGCTACAGTAGAAATGTACATGTCTTTACATGTTTGTAATCACCCCAGTGTCTATATTTCTGCTACTTTGGGCTTGGAATGTCCTTCCCCTTCCTCTTCCTAATCAGCCCACTCATCATTTTAATCCAGGTCCTAGCTCCTCCAGAGAAAGCCGCTTTCTCTGCCACACGTTTCTTCCCTCTGCCTGACATCACTGCGCATGACACTGTGCCTTTCTGTACTGCATTGTGGTTTCCTTTTGTATCTATCTCCCTCTATATAGTCATTCCATTCTCATCTAGGAACTTGGTAAATGTTTGTTTTTAAGCATTTGATTTTTTGCTGGTTGAATATTGTTAATGCTTAGCCTTTAATCTGTATATTTCACAGACCACTTCCATCTCAGAATCTTTGCAGTCATCTATTATACCAATGGCTGATTGTACCAGAGAACCCTGACTGGGTTTCTTATAGGTTTGTTCGTGGTGGTATCCTGTTCTGTCCTTGCACAGATAAGCAAATACATTGAGAAAGGGTAGCATGCCTTATTGACAGCTAATGAGGTAATGTTAACAAACCCAAACAAGTTATTTGGCATCTGCTCTTTGGTTTCTTAAGGTCTTTCCCTACTAGCACATTAATATTAACGTCCTGAGTTTCTAAGATCCACAAATAGGTTTAATATATGGACTGAGTATGTACCATAAATCCACATATATTATAATTTTTTTAAGAAAAATAATAACAGAAATCTAAAATGAGATATTGTACTCATGAAATAAATAGGATGTACAGCTCCATGGCAGAACATTTGCCGCACATGAAGGGGGCCCTGGGTTCAAGTCCCCACTCAAAGAAGAAGAAGAAGAAAAAGAAGAAGAAAGAACAGTATAATTCATATAAGTTTAATACTTATCTTCCATTTTCTAAGCAAACCTTTTAAAATGTGTTTTTCTTCATAAAGAGCAGAAGCATACAATTTGATCTGGTATCTATTTATGGCTCCTTCATTTATTAATTATATGACCTTGAACAAATCACTTATATCTTCAAGACTAATAGCTTCATCAGTGAAACGGGAATTGTCCTGGTACTTAATTTGTGTGATTACAGGAAGACTAAATGAGAATGGATCTGAAGAGACAGTATACAGCAAATAGGATTAAGTGGCAGTCTCCATATTAAATGGCGAGGTTCTCAAACCTCTGGCCCCATCGACTTCCAGCATGCTGGTATCTAGGCTTGGTGGCCCTCAGGAAGGAGACTGGAATACTCTTCTCTGGGAAAAATGTATACATACTGATCATTGAGAGAACCACAATAATCAACCAAGTCTTCCTGACCTTCCTGGAGTGAGGCCCTCAAACACAGAGCTTCCAGTTATTAGCCTAACTGAACAGTTGCCTGATATCACCAGATGCTTGAGGAAAGCCTCCAGGAAACACGTAGGGGAGCAGGAACTCAGAGGAAACAGACAAAGCAGGGAACAGAAGAAGATTTAAAAAAAAAAAACTACAATATTCATAGAGACCTAAAATAAGATACTGTACCTGGGAAATAGGATAGGATGAATAGCTGGGGGTGTGTCTCAGCGGTAGAGCGCATGTCTGGTATGCAGGATGGCCTGGCTTAGATCCCCAGCACTGCAAAACAATAATAATAATAAAGAGAAGAAGGAAATATAATAGGGTATAGTTAAAAAGGAAAGCTTTCAGGAAACAAGAAAGAATTTTAAAGATTAGAAGATAATGTTAACCCCCAAAATATTAGAGAAATGAAAACCAGAGGTAAAAAACAAACAAAAAGAAAAAAAATTAGAAGATTTTCTTAGAGGGTCAGTATCCAACTCATGGAGTTCCCAATGGAGAGTGGGAAGGGTGAGTCACAGAGAAAATAAACCATCCAAGATATTTCCTCGAACCGAATGATTAGAATTTCCACTTGAGAAAGGGCTCATCTAGTTGCCAGCAAAATGAGTGAAGAAAGACCCATTTCAAGGTATATGATTTTCAAGTAGAAACAGAAAAAGAAAAGAAAAGGGCAGAATAAAGAACTTCCAGAAATGCAATGTCTACGCTTTTACCTTTTATGCAACTTTCCTCTGGAATTTTCTGGGTATCTGCACCTCAGAAAAAGGGAAATAAATGAAGAGAAGGAAGTCTAGGACACAAGAGATCTCACAGAGGAAGGAGGAAAGTTCTAGAACTACATATGTACAGCACATGTACAGAGTGAGCATTTCAGATTGAACCATGAAGACAATGGACACCAGGAGGGGAAAAAAAACCCCAAATTTCAAATTACCCAATATTTTTAAGCAGTGGGAGGAGTGTGCACAAGTAACCGGAAAAGCCCCGTCTCCCATAGTAAGACATCAAGAAATGGTATTTCACAAAAATCTAAAAATAGTACTGTGACCTTGCTATCAAAAGAGAAGAGAGCAAATGCAAGAAAAAGGCTAGGGGAGCTGGAAATGATTGACTTGGAAAGGGGAGTCAGAAATGTGGCACAAGCCTGGCATGGTTTTTAAACTTTTTTCACATAATCTTGGTAAAATAAAAATGAGATTTAAAAATGTTAAATGAGACAGTTATGTAGAACTCTTAGTCTCTGCGTTTCACAGTTAAGTGTTGCTCACATGTAAACTGTCATATCCTGCTTCTTCTAGAAAACCTAATAGAGCCTTGTTAAACTGCAGATACCGACTTTCTATTCATTCATTTTCTCCCCCAGTTCCCACCATATAGTGCCATCTTGTCTCTGAGGAAGGCATTTCAGACACCCACTTCAGTGTCTTTCTGTTCAGTTTGCATGTCTCTCTGATTTAACGATCCATTGTTTTACTGTTGTGAATGACAAGATGTTTAGATGCTGTTTTTGAATCATGTTGTAGACATCTTTTTTTCAGATTTTCATGAGGGAACTCCTGATCTTTTCTTTTCCGGCCAAAGCACTCACACTTGCACAACTAAATAAATAGATTTTGCACATTTTGTTCAGTCTTTAGTACTCTAGTTTCCTAAATAGTCTTAACCTGTGCATTCCAACACATTTTCTTCCTGTGTTCAGGGCCGAAAGCTTCTTATCATTGGGACCACTAGCCGCAAAGATGTCCTTCAGGAAATGGAAATGCTTAATGCCTTCAGCACCACCATCCACGTGCCCAACATTGCTACTGGAGAGCAGCTGCTGGAAGCTTTGGAGGTGAAAATGAGTCAATGGGTTGCACTCTGTTTATAAGAAAGGAGTTGAGGCTGGAGATCATGCTGAGGGGTGCACAGCTAGAATACCTGGTGTCTAGTTTCTAACTTAACCTAGAACATGGAACCCTGAGATAATACCTTCAGTTGTTCTCAGAAATTAGAGGAAGAAGAGGAACACAAGTATCAGGGCATTAATTCCCCATTCCTCAGGGTAGGCAGAGCACTCACTGCAGGAATGAGTTAGTCTGCGCCCCACAGGCATAGAATGCATACAGAGTCCATGACCAGGGACTTGGATGGGTGAAGCTGTAAGGTGGGGAGTAAGGTAATCATTGCAGATAAAACCTGGTTATTTAGAGTGGCCATCAGCACATTTCCTTGCATTTAGTAGATTGGAACAGTAATTAAAGCCTTCAAAACTTCAAAAAAGCTACAGAAATAAAAAGAAGTTTCCTCATGAGTTTATAATATGGAAATCTTCTGAAATTTTTTGAGGATGATAAAGTCTTTAGTTTTTTAAAAAAAATACATGCTGCAGTAAACCTTTGGTTAATATTAATGTGCACAGATGACTTGACAAGATCTGTTGGAAAAGGTGATTTAGCAAGTTGCTGAGCAGTGGTGGAGGCCATAAGCTCTCACAGCCTTCCCCATCCATGGTGCGTGAGTGCTCCCAACAAAATCATCCTTACGACAAATGTTTCCAGGTTGTCTGTTTGAGCAGTTTTTGTGGCAGGGCTGGGCAAGAGAATTAAATCTAGTCTGCTTTGACAACATACAGATTATTCCCAGAAAGGAATGCTAAAAATTTTAACTTGTATTTATTATGGATTGGAGCTATTTTTTCCCAGCAAACATATCTCTGAGTAACAATGGAGATCCAAAGACAAACAGGGTTTAAGATACCAGCTTTTGCTTTTGTGCTTGTACCTAATGGGTTCAGGAAGGTCAGACTGGATTTAAAATAGGAGGGAATCCTATCAGCTTAACTCAGTCAGATGTTTCCTACCACTGTTCTTTTCAGGATGAATGTGAGAATTAATTAATGTTGTTGATGTTAGAGGGACTTCATTGTTGTTTATTGTTTTGTAGCTTTTGGGCAATTTTAAGGATAAGGAACGCACCACAATTGCACAACAAGTCAAAGGGAAGAAAGTCTGGATAGGAATCAAGAAGCTACTGATGTTGATCGAGATGTCCTTGCAGGTAAGGAGCTTCCTCCACATGATCCAGAGAAGCAAGTTCACCATACACCTAGAGTTTTTTGTTTGTTGTTTCTGAGATTGTGATTGAACCTGGGGCAGCTTTACCTCTGAGCCACTTTTTATTTTTTATTTTTAAAATAAATCCCTAGCCCTTTTTATTTATTATTTTGAGACAGGGTCTCTTAAGTTGCTTAGGGCACCATTAGGTTGTCAAGGCTGACTTCGAACTTGTGATCCTCCTTCCTCAACTTCCCAAGTCACTGGGATTACAGGCGTGCATTACCATGCACCAGATCCAAGAGGTTTTAATATTTCCTTCACTAAGGTTTTAATTCATTTGTTCTAATTCTCTTATATTATTTCTGAACTCAAGCTGTTAATTTAAGGAATTACTAGATCTTGGAACTAGAAAGGACTTCAAAGAGTGATTTTTAGGCAGGGGATATGGATCAGTGGTAGAGTATTTTCATGGCATGCATGAAGCCCTGTGTTCAAGACCCAGCACCACCAAAAAAATAGCAATTGCTCTGCTGCCCCCTTGTTTTAAGAAAGCTGTGTATCACTCAGGTTGTCAGCAAATTAGTCAAAATCACATAGCTAATTAGTGATGGAGGAAGAATGTATTGTCATCAGAAATCAGTAAGTTACTACATGTATATGAGAGGAGGCCTGGGAGACTTCTGTAAAGAACAGGTGGGTTACATTGCATAGAGTGGACTTGGGCTGTGTATAATTTTCCCTGACTGGACTCCTAGAAATTTTATGCAAACTACTATAGGGTTAAAGCATCTAGGATCTCATGGAAAACTGAGCCCTATTCTGCTTCCTGGGCAGAAACAGATGAAACTTCTTTGGAACTTTCTCACAACTATTGGCAACTTACCTTTACTCTTTCTGGAACTCCATGCTTCATGCCCATCCTGTCTCCTGGCCCTCATCTGACATACTAGATCAGTTTCTCCCTACCAAGCTCAGTGAGTTCAGATGCACTATCTAAAGCCCTAGAACAGAGCTAAACACAGAGTATGGTGCTCAGTGAACTTTTAATGAATGAATGATTCCATCTCTGGTCCTGGGTGGAATGCTGTAGGCATGGCGCATTACCCATCCACCAGTGTGAGAGTGGGTGGCAGAGCGGGAGTTCAGCTTCTCAGTTATATCCAGAGGGGGCCGTTGGAGCAATAACAAATCAGAAACATGAAGTGAGTACTTTTTAATCTTTTGTGATAAGCTTAGTTTAAAATAATATTTTTGTGGTTTTTAGAAACCTAAAGTTCAGCCTACTGAAACTTTAATTTATTTTCCATTATGAGCAATAAATTAGAGTCACAGACCAAGCACTTTGCTGAGGCTTATTCCTGGTAAAGGTTCCCATACAGGTGTACTGGCGCTTTCCTTGAAAAAAGACAAACCTGTCGGAAAGCCAGCTCTGCTCTTCTTCTTCCTCCTCTTCTTCTTCTAGTTTCAACTCAATTTTTTTTTTCAATAATTGCACAGAAGAAACTCTGTGGGTTTTTCGCCCCAGCCCCCTTCCCTTCCTCTTCCTTTGATGCCTGAGGTCAGTGATCAAGTTAATGCTTCTTATGTACGTGGGGTAGAAAGTGAGAGTGGGGCGCTCAGGCCTAATCTTCAGCGACTGACACTTCATAGGCCTCCAAGTTTGAGCCCCTTCATGTCAAATGGATTCTGTGCAGCTGAGTGACTTCTCTTTAGATCTGCCTAGAGAGACTGAGCCCCAGTGAAGAGGCATGTAGTTTAGCAGAATGTAAGTCATGTTCCCTCTCTGTTCCCCGAGCATGATTCTGTTAAAACTTGCACAGTGCTGAGGATCTGCTCTGACTGGATGTCACCTGAGGGAATAAAGTCATTTATCTAGATTACTTTTTTCCTCCCTTTCTCTTGACTTTTAATTCCATAGCTACAGGCAAGTCAGTAAGTCGTTGCTCACACATATTAAATATATTTAATGGGCAAAGACCTGCAAGTACTGACTACAACTGAGCTCCAGCTAGTTCCATTTTTTTTTAAGAACTTGACAATTGATTCATATGTAATTCTATTCCCAAAGAGGAAAAATGTTTCTTTTGTTAGCTATTCACACTTTTTCTTAGTCCTTTGTAGTCTGACCTCTTAACTTTGATACATTTGAAACTTCTGTTCAATGTTTTTCTGGGATAGAAGAGAATTTTTTTTAAGTGTTTGGAGGGGGGAATCCAATTGCACACTTGCCCACAGCTGCACTGAGCATTTGAAAACCGTTCCTGGAGGGTAGGGAGTTCCCTTCTGGGAATAGACTTCTGTCCTAGAACATGTTTTAAAAGTGAGGTGTGTTTCTTAAAATAAAAAATTCATCTTAAAGAATTAAAGGATGTTTTTAATGATCGTTATCTAGATAACTTCACATCTCTGATAGACCAATAAGAATAAAATATATTTTAACAAATTACTATACATATGAATAAACCAGGAGAGATAATTAATAGCAACAACCTGAATCAGAATCCCGCCATCTTTCCTTAGACCCATGACATATTCCAGGTCCCTGAGAGACAGCTTACCCAGAGAGCGCATCAGAGTCAGCGGTATTCTTGTTTTAGTTGTAGTGCAACTGTTCCATTAATTGCAAAGAAGAAACTGTGCAAGGGCACTGAGGCTAAGAAAAGCTCAATGGTTGATTGACATAGAGGTAATAAGCCATATTTGGGTTATCTAATGAGACTTTTATACCTTAGAGAAGTCCTGGGAATTGGATGTCATTTGAACTGCCTGGACTGACCACCGTCTGGTTCACAATGATGCCTCACAAGTGTGCTGTGCCTCCCCATGCTGCGCCAGCTGAGAGAGCACTTGGCTGAGGTGACCATGAATGACCCTGGGTCAGGTCATTTGAACCCAGCAATCAGCCATTCTCCATGTTGGGAAATCCCACTCTCCTAAATGATATAATCTGCTTTGTTGTGCATCAGAACAGTGGTCAAGGAGCAGTTGACACATTCCTGTGAGTCAGCAGAGTGCTACTGGAAGTATGAAACCAAGCATTTCCTTGGCATGAAGTAAGTGCATAGTTGTTAGAAGGCACCATTAACTTGTCTTCTTTATTTGTTCTGATGTATTTAGATGGATCCTGAATACCGCGTGAGAAAATTCTTGGCCCTCTTAAGAGAAGAAGGAGCGTAAGTACACACAGCACTTAAGACTACAGACTAAACTTCACTCTGTCAAATCCCAGTAACTACTTAAGAGTTGCATACAGTACATATGAATTTGACAGTTTCTTTCCAACATAACTTTGTTTTCATTTATTAGAATTCTTCACTGTGTTGTAGGTATGAGAGACCAAGCAAGGAGGTTGGTTGTTCTGTTGGTTTGCTCTCCCTGTCCTGCTTCGCAAAACTACCTTGTCACAATGCAGGGAAAAACTTGATGGTACATATTTATTGGAACCTGTTTTTAAATGCATGGAGTTGTGACCATTTTCTTTTGTCAGTTGTCCTTCTATAGCAAATGCATAGTGGAAAATGTAGCAAAAACATTAAGAAGCTGTTAGTGATTCCATTATGAATGGCTTTTTGCAGGTGCTCATCTGTTTTTATGTGTATGTGTTTGGTGTTTCTTTTGCAGTAGCCCCCTTGACTTTGATTGAAAATGGACTCTTTGCAACACACGGTGACCAAGGGACATGACCAAGGTGAAGATGGCCTGGGATCTTCACTCATCTTGCTGGAGATACTGGACTAAGTGAAACATTCTCTACCTTCAACCTGCGCTCACTGCATGATTAGTGCAAAAACACTCCCCTCTTCGTGCTTATTGAGATATTCTGGTGTTTTTGTGGAAAGTGTAAATCTGCTTAAGATGCTGTGCTTACCTTCCCCCGAGCTGAGGTGGTTCCTTCTTACTCAGAGTCTGTGTGGGAGCCGTACTGTATTTGTGCACACTACACATTTGAAGCTCCGCACCACCTGAAAACTATTAGTAAAGGTAACAAATGTTGCAGGACAACACTTGACCTTGTTAGAAGGTCGACTTTCTGCATGCAAAACAAGAGCAGTGAGCAGAGGCGTGGGTTCTCTGGGACTCTGTACAACTCCCCTACGCTTACACTAACGGTAATTGGTATTTGGTTAAAGGTATTCCCATGGAACTGGTTATTACTGCCTGAAGAAACAGGGCTTTGAATATCTAAGATGCTGTTCTTAATCATTTTCAGAGATATTTTCAAGTTGCAATCAGGAGATCTTTCTTATTAGAAAGTCCAGTTGTCACTGTGGTGGCTGTGACATCCCCTTGATATAATTAATTTGCTCTGTGGTAAGATATATGCTAATTATTACCACTCAGAAGATGTTGTTAAAAACTTATGAAAGATATGTATGGAAAAATGTACACCCCTAAACAGAAAGGAATTATTAAAATAAAGTAATTTACAAACCTCTCAGCACTAATTAGTGTCCAACTCTAAGTGGGTCAATTCCTTAGGATAATATAAAAGGCTTATTAGTATCACCACTTTTTTCTTTTCCTTAGCCTAATGACTTACTTAGAATTTGTCCTTCCTTTATTTTAAATTATCTGTACTATCTAGCATGCAAATAAAACACTATTATCCAGAGAAATAAGCCATGTCCTCACCCTCTCCCTTCAGCCCTTGAACACCCGTCTGATCCTTTCCCTCATCCTCTACATGCTTCTTCCAAAGGGAAGGAGAACTCATTGAGTCCTTTTGAGGGTGACTTGTCTTATCACTGAGTTGGAAGGAATTTAATTAGGTTATCACATATGGTGATGAGACATATGGAGCACGACTCTCCCCACTGCTGCTTAAAACACGAGGACAGGTGGTCAGAAGCCACCACTTCTGACCAGTTTGTTGCCACAGTGGCACTTGGGTGTGGCAAGTAGAAGGCCAATCATCTCCAAATCTTGTTCTCTGTATACTTTTGTTTTGAGTCTTCATCCCTGGCTCATTTTGTGGCTTTTATGACAGTGAATTTATTGTGGAATTTTGTGATCCCTGGTGGCCCATGTCCTGAATCCCCAACCTGTTTGCCATCTTGCCTCTTCCCTCCTCCCGAGAAGCAGCACACATTGTATTAACTTATGTCTCTTGTTAAATGAGGATAATGTCTTTGTGTTCTGTCCAAAACTATATTGAAAAAGATAAATATTATATTGTTTAATGCAAATGAAGGAATGCAATAAAGAGTAAATATACTTGAAAATGTTCGTAGACAGTATTTCATGTAAAACAATCACCGACAGACGCTTATGAAGAGGAAGGAGGTCCAAAAAGAAACCTCTCTGTTTTCTTACAGCTAGCCAAAGGAGGTGGAGGATTTTTGTTTTAAAAATCTCTTATTTAGTACAGTTATTTGAAAAGAAAAACAGATCACTAGCATACCAAAATGCTGAAAAACAGCAAGAACCTATATACTTGTGCTTTATGCTTATTTTATCTTGGAAAACAGAGCCGTAAACAAATTTTAGCAAGAAACCAGAGCAGAGAAGGCTGTTTCTGTTAGAACCGCTCCTTCCTGTGAGATGTGCACCCCAGCACCCTCAGTGATATTTCTTCCATGGGTCATTTTGGTGTCCTTCGTGGTTTTTACATTTTTTTTCTGAGCTATTATGTTCCAGGCTGATCCCTGATGCTTGACACTGGCCCAGATTAGGGCAAGGGGTAGCTCAGAAAATCAGCAGGAACTTCAGCAGCAGGGTTGGCTCCCCAGGACCTCAGAGGGGAGGACCCTGAGGCCGGCTGGTCCCCACCTTGCCTTCAGAAGGTGGGTTCTGGAAGTGCATGGGTATGCAGCGTGGCTGGTGAGCACAGGCAGACTCCACCCGGCCACTGCCTTGGAGGCCATTGCCTGTGGGTGGCTTAAGCAGCCACTGGGCTGCCAAAAGATGTCACTAAAAGGGGGAAAGGGGTATTTTATCCTTATTAGATTTTGACATCTTCACGGTGATACTTTTTTTAAAAAATTTAATAAGAACACTAATTGTAGTTAATATCCAATGTAAGTTTTGCTTTAAGGCTGTCTTTCTATAGCTTAAAAATTATTCAATAGCCAGCCCTCTAAGTTTTGGCCACGTATCACAAAATCGTGGAATAAATTCAAGTGTGTATAATAATCAGATCCCGGTCAGAAGCCTTGCCGAAGCACTGAGTCCATTCTGATCACCCGCCCAGCCTGAACGGGGCAGCGGCAGAGGCAGGCTTTCGTTTTCCTTGCCTGGCAACGTGGTCTGCAGCCTCTTCAAAGAAGTGACTAGGCTAGGTGTGTTTGAGAGTTCAAAAAAGCATGTAAATTTCAGAAGTTATTGCAAAACGATCTAAAGTTTCTCATCAGCTGGCAGGCTGTGCCGAGACTGGGTCCCAGGGATGAGCCCACAAAGGGCGTGTGCCACACGGACACCATGGTGTTGAGATGCAGAGATAGCACCTGTGATCGGCTCGAATCCCAAGTAGGCGAGGATGGAATTTGCAAGGAGGACTCAGGTTTGAGATTTTCCCAGCACACAGTCTCCACATGACTGACTCTGCCTCACTCTTTTGTGAGAGTGATTAGTGGTCTTAGAAAGTTCTCCATTAAGCTGGAAGTGAGGACAGCAGAGCAGCCATACTTAGCTGAACTGACCTCCCTTGTGTATAAAGCAGCTGCCACATCAGCACAAGTCCACATACCCAGGGCCACATGGAGACTGAAGGAGATGCATCTAGAATAATCCCACAATCAGGGTTCCCCTTGCTTTTCTCGGCTTTTTCTACTTCCTTACCTTCTCTCCTTTTGCCTATGTTTCTACCTCCTCCTTAAACTCATGCACTCTTCCCTTCTTTCTTCATAAAATAATATTGCTTGAGGGCTGGGGATATAGCTCAGCGGTAGAGCACTTGTCTAGTAAACATGAGGCACTGGGTTCGATCTGCAGTACCACATAAAAATAGGTAAATGAAAATTATGTCCATCTACAACTAAGTGCGTGTGTGTGTGTGTATGAAGTTCATGAACTTTGAGTGGCCGTTCCTAAAGTTAAGAGATTTGGCCTGGCACAGTGATGCACACCGGTAATCCTAGTGACTCAGTAAGCTGAGGCAGGAGGATCTCAAGTTCGAGGCCAGCCTCAGCAATTTAGTGAGACCTTGTCTCAAAAATATTTAAAAACGAGCTGGGGATGTGGCTCAGTGGTAGAGTGCACATTGAACTCAATCCTCAGGCTTCCAAAATAATAACAACAACAAATAGCAATAATAGGTGTGGAGGCGGGGGGCACAGACAACCCATTTCCACTGCCCAAAGTAGACAGTGGTTTCCTGGTATTATGTTTTTATGAAGTGAGGTAACATTTGTTCCTAATAGAGGTAGATGAAGAGAGAGAAAAAACAATTCAGCTATTCTCAAACAATGTGCCTAACAAACTGAAGAGGTGGCATTTTATGGGCAGGTCTGAAACTAAAGGACTGTGTATTGTTGTAAAACTGAGTGAAAGCATTCTGCCATCGAAAACTCAGAACTTGGGAGCTTCGAGTGAGTCCTTTGGAAGCCCCAGTCCAAGGAGAGAAAACCATTTCCCTGGAGCATACCCACCTGTTCGTCCTTCTGCCCAAACTAGCCTACAACTTCAAATGACACTTGTTCCCGACCACCCAGAGCCCAGGGCACACCATTTCTTCTTGCTGGCCAACCTACTTCTACAGCTTGGCTTCTGCAGGAGAACTAGCAGGATGGGGCCATCTCCAGTCAAGTTACATTTTCAATTGCTCAAACTCCAACAAATGGAGTTGAAAATATGGTGAGGAAAGAATTAAGGCAGTATCCAGCCCCCTGATCTGCTGGCCTTGGGCCACTTCTTTTAGGAGTATCTGGGACATTAATGTGTACATCAAAAATGCTTGAATCTGGGCTGGGGTTGTGGCTCAGTGGTACATTGCTTGCCTAGCATGAGTGAGACACTGGGTTCCATCCTCAGCATCACATAAAAAAAATATATATGTAAACAAAATAAAGTATTATCTACAACCAAAAAAAATTTTTTTAGATATTTGAATCAGTGAAATGAATTTCAGCCCAAATTCCTTGATAGAAGTTGACTTACAACAAAATAAGCCCTTAAGAGAGTCCTGAAGTACATCAGACCTACTATCCATGACATCGCAGAAGATCTTGCTTAGAGAATAGAGGAAAAGATCTTAATTTGGTCACTTAATTAGCTTAGGCTACCACATTCAGAATGTCATATTCTTGACCTGAGCATGAATCTGGAAACTCCACACATGGTACAATGTATCCATTTTAAGTTTGTTTACCTTCTCTTTAATGGCTTAACAGAAAAAAACTGCATGATGAAATATATTTTCTCCAAATATATATATATTTATATAATATATAATCTTAGTTAACTCAAAGGTATATACATTGTATAATAAATAATATTTATAAAAAGAGACTTTTTGAATATAAAATCAAAAAGATCAACAACTTCTACAACTTTTTACAAAACTTTGGATACAGCAGGTTGGTAGGAAATTTCCGTTGGATACTATGACCTGACTACAGCGAGAATAATTACAATGCACTCATGAACTATTATTAAATAATTACTTGTCAGCTACTTGAATACGTCCCCAAAACATGACTTTATCACTTTTAATATAGAATACATAGATATGAAAAGACTGTTTTAAAAATTTGTATCCATTCTGCTGAAATATTCGCACATAAAGCAAGCATTAACCGGTTGATGTGATTTAAAACTTTTCAGTCTAAGATGAGATGGGGAGGAGCGTCTGGGACTCTAGAGGGGTGGGATGTGGTTCTTTAGCAGGCCTCATGGCCGGCAGGTGCAAAAGGCCAGGCAGGCTTTAAGATGACAGTTTGGCAAGCCTGCCTGCACAAACTGGGAATCACTGACCAGGTACCTTAGGTGAGGGTTAGATAGACCCAAGAGAGAGGGAGAAAGGAAAGACAAATCTTTATTTTGCTGTTTCCCTGTTGTGATTCTCCTTAAGAGAGTCGCCAGATTGATCAGGACTGTCAAAGCCATCTGCCTCCATTTGGTTCGCTGCCTCCAGGACACTCACCAGGACTGGTGTGCATCAAGGAGCACTCTGCTGGGGGATCTCCCCCCGGGAGCAAGTGACTGCTTGCCCACTTTGAACACCTAATCTAGATCCTTGAAACCATAAGGGTTGATACTATCTCACATGCAGGCAACAGGGAAGAGCGTGTTAAAGAACTCTGCATTTCTGTTTACTCACAGAGACCATAGAGAGAAGGTGGCAGGAGAACCTGGTCTGATTAGAGAGGAAACCCTGATATCTCTCTCTCTCTCTCTCTCTGATGACCTGAAGTCCTACTGCTCTACCTGGAATTGTTTTTTATGGAGAATCTGCAGGTAAGCAGGACTAGGATTGAAAAGTCCCCTCCAAAGACACTGCTTGTTGCTGTAGGAAGCCATTTGAGCTGGAGAAGACTTGCCCCCCTACATGACCTATTTACAATGCCCACTACCCAAAAAAAAAAAAAAAAAAATCTACTGCATTAACGATGGAAAGTGCAGAATGGTAGAAAAAGATTTTGAGATCTGACGGCCTCTCGTGCAGAACAGGGTTATAGAGAAAGTGAGACTGAGAAGAACTCGGCTGCTCTTCAAACAGCTTACCAGGGCACCAGAACTAGTTCTTCAAAACTCAAAATCCTCCTCTAACGATCGCCGGGACCTCCCCACCACTCCATCCTAGCTAAACCTATGGCTTTTATCAGAATGTGAAAGTGTATCAGATTTGAATGGGAGTCGACAGAAAAGGAGACTGCAGGGGTTTGTCCTACTTTGTAACTCCCACCTCACAGGCATCTTGGAATGTCACCATCAGAAGCAGCTTGGAGACAGATTCTTGCCCACGCTCATGTCCTTCCCACCAGGCCGAGAGCTCACATTAGCCCAGCCTGTTCTGTTGGAGTAGATTTTTTTTTTTTCATTTTTATTTTCTTTAACATGTGCAAAGGTAAGCCTCGGGTCTGTTCCTACCAGACCCTGGAGAACTAAAAAGAAAGCCCCTCTGTAAAAACCACACACCGTCCAGAGCAGGGTGAGAAATGTGAAGATGGGAGAGGGGGGAGCGCCTCCCATCGGCAGACTGGCGGGGTCCAGGTCACTTCCCACGTGCAGTTGGCAACAGTCCACGCTCCTTGCTGGCCGATGCCAAGGGTTGGCCGGCTCTAGGTCCTGCTTCCCGTGGGACTTCGGTGAATCCGCCCAGCCGCACACTTTACCCCTTGCCAGTGTCCTTTGGGAAAACAAATGGGAAGAGTCAGAAACCTCATTCCTCTCCCAGAGGGACCACCCCTAGGGGTGCAAAGATCAGAGGCAATAACAGGAGATCTCGACACTTCTTTTATGCTTAGAGAGGAGGGGCCCTGGCTTCCCCATGCTCGGACCTCCAGCCTGCCAGAGGGAGGGAGGTCACAGAAATCCTATGTCCCCACTGCCAGCTGAGGGCCTTGGGCACCAGGAGGCCAGGTGACCACCCTAGTGCAGGAACTCGCCTTGTGCAGAGATGGAGAAACCTCGCCCATCTGAGTGCTGGTCCCCAACCTCGAGTCCACTCCCAGGCTGTGCAAGTGCCACACACAAAGTGCTGTGTGGCACTGGGTAGCCTGATGATGAGCTGTCCAAATGGCAGAAAGTCTAACTATGCATACTTCCTTCCCGTGCGTGCACCAAGGGGTACGTGCACTTCACTCACCTGTGGAGTTCTATCTCACAAAGCATGGAGGCACAATGCCACTTCACAGGCATTCCCAGCCAACCCTCAGCTCCTCCGGGAGCTGACAGGGCCAGGACCAGACTCTACAGAGGTCAAACAGGCTCAGCAGGATTACAAAGATACGCCCAAGGTCCCACAGCAGGGCCTAGGGTCAATCAGGGCACTTGACATGTCCAGAGTCTTTCTAGTTCTCTGTGGTCCCAACATGGGAATTATAAGGAATAAATCTGGTACTTGTGGTACCAGTGTTAAGGTACCAACCAGTGATTAACTGGAGGCACTGGACATAACTAGGAGTGATAGGAAAGGTGTTCACCTCACAGGAAGGACCCAGGCAGGACTTTTCCCTTCCTGGACCAAGCCAATGTGACTGGGGCTCTCCCCCAAGTGTGAAGAGGGTGTGTGGCTCTATGATTACCTTTTCTACCTGCACTGCCGACACTCACAGGGTAGCCAAGAGAAATCTGGAGGCTCTGTCCCCTGCAGTCCCTGTCAGTTTATCTCCTGGGCACACAGCAGCGTCCACATGGATGAAAGGATGGGAAGAAGTAACCAGGACTCAGCTCATCTTTGGCCTGTGGCTCCAAACCAAGCAGCAAAAAGCCACTCTTGGTCACCCTGCTTGGCCTGGGAATCTCAGCTGCCTCTTCAGGAACACAGGACCATGGGCCAAACTCTTCATGTACATGGTTGAGTGCAAGGGACGGTCCAGCGAGACGTGGCTCAGTTCACAAATGAGGAGAGCAGGACTGAGAGAGCAAAAGAGCTTGCCTGGATCACCTGACAAGCTGAGTGTTTATGAAAAAGCCACCACAGTGGGAAATGTTATGTACTTGTCCCCATGTAGGGGGGCCTAAGAATGTGCGGAGAAAAGAGGCCTGATGAAGAGCACAGATTTTATTTTACTTTATTTGTTGTTTTTTTCTGTGTGTGTGTGGGGGGGTGGGGTGCAGAGGATGAACTCAGGGCCTCTGAATGCCAGGAAAGTGTCCTCACCAAGCCACACTCTATTCTTCTTAGGGTCAGTATTAGTAGAGAGCGTGGAATTGGGGGATGTTCTGGACACTGAGGGCCAACCCAACACCTCCTTCCTCGCCTGGCAGATCTTGGCTGCCACAAAGGGCAGGAAGAGAGCTGCGCCCTGCCCCCCTGGAGCCACCAATGGGACTGGGCACTGCTGCTGTGGCCTCGCTGCAGCCATAACTCGCTGTGTCCATTGGGGAAACAGGCAGGCTGACCAAGGGCCCTCTTGGGCCCCATCCAGTACTAGTGTTCTGAAACCCTGTTGTCCCCACAGCCTCTTCTCAGGATCACCAGAGCTATGTCTCACTTAATAGATGGGACACATGCTGCCTCTGGTCCTGGTGAGCACCAGAAGCTGGTCACTGTGGTTTTCAAACATTCCTTCCACCTCGACAGGCTACAGCTGGCTGGTGAGTCCTCCTCCTCGTTGACTCTTCTTCTATCGTTTTGCAAAGCAGTAAATGAGGCTGCCAAAGTAATGCTGCCATTCCTTTGCACAATGCCTGCCCTGTGTCAAGGCTCTGAGAGTGTTTACCACCCTTCATTAGTGTTGTGTTCAGAGAAGCATTCCCATCTGTTAGCTAATTTGAGCCTCCAATAAATTGGGTTAGGCCCCAGTATCACCAGCACCGTACGAATGAGGAAGCTGGGGATCTGCGGTTGGACAGCTGGCAAGTGGTGGCACCAGAGCTCACCTTTGTCCTCTTCCCCTCCCCACACTGCTTTTATCCTGATGCCAAGTAAGGTCATGCCTTTGGCTGCCTTCCTGGGCTCTGTCCCTGTCAGGGCATAACTTGACCTTCCCAGAGGGACTTCCTGAGAAGAGGGTCACCCCTCAACCAAGCTATTCCCCATGCTGTCAGTACCTCCCATCCCCCTCCAAGCCCCACACAGCACAGACAAGCACACCAGCTCCAAGGCACCTGGCACCGAGTGGGCTACTCTCCCCCAAACCTGCCCTGGAAGCCATGACCAAGCAGGCAAGTGCTTCTCAATTGACCCATCACTGTCCCTGGTGTTCTTCTACCTGCTGCTCATGGCACCTCTGGGGAGGATGACAGATAAGGAAACAGGTCAATGAGGAAGATCTTGTCTGGGTCACATGGTTGACTTGTCCAGGGCTGGGCCTAATTCCAAAGCCTATGCTCACGCTTCTATGTACCAGAGCCCTTCTCAGGAGAGAAGAGGAAGAAAGGCCTCGCGGGCCTAAGAAACCTGCCAGGCCAAGGCTCCAGGACCACTCTGCATTCGTGGTGACCTATCCTGGTGTCCTATGGGTCCGAGGGCCAGGGCATGAGGCCTCCTACGCAGACCACCTCTGGGAAGCTTGGGAACACAGTCCACCAGCCTTTGATCCCTAGATTACTCATCGTAGTCTCTCTGAACTTGAATCCCTCCTCCTCCCCATCATCATCATCCATAAACTCCATGAGCAGCGTGCTCCCCGCTCCACCCAAGCTTCAGATCTGTCAGGATACGGGCTTATCCGACACTCCCCACCCACCTCCCTGACATTGGAAGGGTTTATGTTTGTGCAAAAACTTGCCCTCTAAGTTCAAGGTAGGTACAAAATGATTCTACCTCAGTTAGAAGAGATTTCGGCCCACTATTTCAGGTATTTTAACCTCCTCATTTGATAGCAAGAAAAATGAGGCCCAAGAAGTAAAAGAACAGAAGTTAGAAACAAAGTTGGGCCAGACATCAGGTCTCCCAGCTCCCAAGCCCATAGTGCCTCTCTTCTAGCTCCACAGGGGCTCAGTAACGATGGCCAGTGGCCAAGCAAAAATCTCATCTGGCTCATAATTTACTAATTTGTATAAGAGTTTTAATCAATTGCTTGTGGCCTACTTGGTTATCTGTGCTTTATATAATCCACCAAGTTGCTGCCCAAGAACCATTTCTACTGAAACTTGGGAAGTCCTGGCTCCTAATTTTGGCTGTGGAAACTTTTGTGACTTGGGTAGCTCATAAACGGGATGGGCTGCTGGGCGAGGCGGCCTATGCCTGAAATCCCAGTGACTCGGGAGGCTGAGGCAAGAGGATGGCAAGTTCTAGGTCAGCCTCAGCAACTTAGAGAGACCCTGTCTCAAAAAAATAAAAAGGGTTAGGGATGGAGCAAAAAAAAAAAGACAGGGCAGCTCAAGTGTCCCCTTCCCGCCTCTGAGCCCTACCTGGCTCTCTACTTGCAGGTGTGCACATCGTAGATGCGGATGCACTCCTGGCAGCTGACGTAGCAGCACCAGTGGAAAATGCAGTGGCACTTCTCCTTCCGCTTCTCCGTCCTCGTGTTATGGCCTCGGCCACAGCAAAGCAGATCACAACCATCAATGCCATGGGAGGTGACATTGCAAGTCCGGTCCCTGGTGCCAAAGGAGCCCGTCTCTGGGTTGGGTTCACAAAAGTTGGGGGAGTTCTCATAGTAGACCAGGTCCCTCTCGGTAGGTGGCTTGAAGAGCGAGTACTTGGCCCGGAGAGTCTCCACCCAGCCTCGGGACTCCCGGTGCTTCTCCACCACCATCTCTGAGGCGCTGTCATACTTGTCCTTGAGGAAATCCCCGATGGCACGGAAGTCAGGCTGGGCCCACCAGCAGGTCTTCACCTCGCAGCTGCCCGACAGCCCATGGCACTTGCACTTGAGGTGCATGTGGTCCAGGATGGTCTGGGGAAGAGGAGTAGCAGTTGGCTCCCAAACTGACCCCATCCAGGAGCACCTTCCCACTCTGCCCCACCCACCCACATTCTCCCAGCCTCCTTTACTACTCTGTGCCAGGAAGAGACTGGATGGGGACTGAGGTATGGATCCAAAGGTTCTACTTTTCCTCATCACACCCCAAGCAGACATGACAGTTCATTTCTCAAAGTGGTAGGAAATAGACATTGTTATCCCCATTTAACAGAGGGGGACACTGAGGCTGGGAGCTTTGGTTACTAGCCTGGGGTCATACACCCACAGGAAAGGATGGAGGCAGAATTTCAAGACAGCTCCACAACTACACACCCAAGCTGGGGTTCTTGCTCCTATAGGGTGACCACACCTCCCAGCCGACTCATCCCCTAGAGATCAAGAACAGCCCAAGGAGGAAGGAGGGTGGACAGAATGGGTGGCTGTGGGGTGTGGCTGGGAGCCAAGCCTGGCCAAAGGGAAAGGGGAGCCAGATGCACAGGGCCTCTAAACGGGTCAAAGCCAGGCCAAGGGCAAGACTGGGGTCCCAGGTGCGATCCCAGCAGGGTTGGGGCGAGGGCAGCCGCGGCTCACCGTGCGGCCTGCCTCGTTGTTGTGTTTATTCATTGCCGAGCGCGCATCTGGCCTGTTCTCACGAGCGTCTGCGAACTCCCGGGACACTAGCACCCCGAAATCGGCGTCTTCGCTGCAGCCGCCCCACTTCCAGCCTTCGCCAGGTGGCCCCTTATGATGAGAATCGCAGCCGCAGATGGTGGAGGTGCCCTCGGCGCAGGAGCGCGTGACAGCGAAGGCCACGCCGGCTGAGGCGATGGCATGCACGAAAGCCGACTCGCGGGTGGCTGCGGGGAGGACGTAGGGAAGCACCGCTCAGGTCCGAGCCTGGGATGCACCAGCCCTGCCTCCACCTCCCCAGCCAAGAGGAGGAAGAGGCTGGGGAGGTGGAGCGTTTAAGAGCTCACCAGCCGCTAAGGAAGAATGAGGAACCGCGGTGCCCTTCCTAACCTCCTCTTTGTCTGGTCCAGACCCTGTGGGTAGCCCCAACTTTCCAATGAGCAACCTGAATCCCAGGGTCCCAAATGCTGCTACCAGGCAGAGCAGACTGTACAAACCGAGCTCCTGGCCGGCGCTGAGGGGGTAAGGTAGCCATGCTATCTTGCCCCTGGCCACCTGCCTTTCACCCTCCCAAACTCCAGACAAGCCAGCACAGTCCTGAGCCCTCCACTCCAGGACAGTTTGAGCCTAAACATACCCAAGCCACCCATTTCCCACCTGCATGTGCTTGGCAGACGTTTTAAACTTTGGCTGAGCCTCCGTTACACTCTTTGTAAAATAGGTACAGCTTCTCCCTGCCTTCTCACCAGGACAGCAGGGGCTGGTGCCTCCGTCTTCCCCTCTCCCTTCCCTACCCCCACCCCAAAACCAAGGTTTTAAACTGAGAAGGTCAAGATCCTCCCATAACTAGGCACAGGTCAGTTACTCTGGCTCTGCCCCACGGGTATTTCTCAGGGGTGAACCTTATTACAAGGCTAGCCCTTTCAAGTGTTGGGTATGCACAAATGCTGCGCTTCGTGTTTGTTTTCCATTTTAATGTTCTTAACGCTACTTTATAGATTCGGACGCTGATGGTTAGGGAGGCAAAGGGCTGCTAGACTTGCAGTCTAACATCTCTCTCCTTGTAAATGAGGACCCTAGAGGGGAAAGGGGACGGGCAACCTTGCACAGGAGGCAAGACAGGAGGCCGGCCTCGGAGCCAGAACTCCTGCCTCCTTTCCTAGGCCGCGGCTACGGTCCAGAGTGCTGGGAGTGATGGAGCTCCACAGATGAGAAAGTAGCCCTTGAAGCCATTGCTGCCTCCCTGGGGCCCGACACCCTCCAGGGCCACCTGCAGAACAGTCCCACTGGCACCAACAACTAGCGGGGAGTGCGAGCCCGAGTCCACACATTGAACCCGCGCAGCGACCGCGAACCCGACGGCCGCGGCATGGGACTGTGGGCCCCGGCGTCCATCCCGGTCTCTGGCTCCCCGCCGCCCCATCCCAGACCCTCCGGGCCTCGGCGCCCGCTGGGAGGGGGCCGAGGACGAGCTCGCGGGCGGGTGCCCCTGGCTTCCGGCGACCCTCGGCCTCTCGCGGCGGCGGCGGCGCCCGGCCCGGGGGCTGCGCTCGGTTCCCAGCCCCGGGAACGCGGGGGCGGCGGGGGCGGGGCGGGGATTAGCCTGGGAGCGGCGCTGACAGCCCCGCTGTGCCGGTCCCCGTCCGGCGGGGCCCGCTGGGCCGCTCAATCCGCCTTTGTTCGCGCGGTGTCACACCGCATTACCCGCATAATGCGGCCGCCGGGCCCGGGCCGCCGGGCCGGCCGCCACCGCGTAGCAACGGGCGGCTCCCGCGGCCGGGCCGCGCCCCCGGCCCCGGCGCGGGCCGCGCGATCCCCATTGAGCTGGTGGCCCCCGCCCCCGCTCCGCGCCGAGTGGCCAGAGGGCGTGTGAATGGCGCGGCGGCCGCGGCGGGCCCGGCCGGGGCGCGGCGGGGGGCGGCGCTCACGCCCTTTGGGAGCTGCGCAGGGATAGAGGCCTCGGGCTCCCGCGCTGCCACCGGCACCCGACCACGGCGGCCTCGTCCCTTCCCGCCGCCGACCCCTCCAGACCCTCCAGGCCGCTCCTCTCTGCCTTCAGCCGGAGCCCCAGGGCTCCCCTCCGGGCCGGCCCAGACCCTGGGGTTGCACTCGGCTGGCACCTACGACGCGCGCCCTGAGCAGCCGGACTCTAGGTCGTCTGGATTTCAAGGCGGTGGGCAGAGATTAAACCTTGGCTGCCCACATAGCCGGAGGCCGCGGGCTTGCCAACGGGTGCAAACTTTTTTGTGGTGGGGGGGCGGTGTTCAAACGTGGGGTGGAGGCAGGTTGGAGCCCGGGTTCACCGCCCGCGCGCCAGGCACTGGGGCGCGTGGGCGCTTCCCGGAGACTCACCCCACCGCTTTCATCAAAGTCCCAGCATCTCTGACCTACACTCTTTGCCCCCGCAACACAAACCCGCCCTCTTGCAGTTTAGGGACGAAGGCATGTGCCAGACCCACAAAGGTGATTTAGAACGTCAAACAATGTGAGCGGGCCAAAAGCTCAAAGACCCGCTTCTCACCGGCTAATGTCCGCAGCGGGAAGAGCAATCAGAAGGTTGGGGAGCGCGTCGCGACGCCAGGCTGTTTGATTAAGCGCTACCTGGCCCAAGGTGGGGCAGCGGAAGCCGGTGAGACCCACACGCCAGCGAGATCGGGATTGAAATGCAAGCAGCAGCCACTTGGCCCCAATTAGAGACCAAACCTTTTATCTAAACAAGGAATAATTAGCTTTGGTCATAGAAGCGTAAACAGAATCATCATCCATTGATTTGCTAATTGCCCTCCTATCCTGTGATATTAGCCAACATTTTGCCTGTAGGTCTGATAGACCCTGTGCACCTGAGGCACAGGTAAAGGGGTATTACACTCAAAAAATGGGAGTAGTCAGTCTCCCCACCCCCATCCAGCCACTGGGCACCCTGAGGACTGGCACTGGGATACCTTTTCTTTCTGGTGTAAATGCAGCTTTCAATGCCTTCTTCTAAAAGGAGAGGAACAGTTTGGGTGGAAAAACTCCAGTTGAAGGGCAAGGCTCAGCTAGTTACTAATTTCCTGGACTCTGCAATTCCTCCAAGAATTGCCCATCTTTTGCCCAGAGCCTGAGAGACCCAAAGGCCCCTTATTGGGAGTAGTTGTCCCATGCAGCCCTCCCTCCATTGAATTGGGACCCCCAAGTTCAATCTCAAATCACCTTACTCTTAACCACCTGAAGCACAGCCGATTAGAACCCCAGGTTACAAGACTGCTGGAAAGTTACCTAAAAGCCAGTGTGCCCATCGTGGTTTGTGGGCGCATCTAGTTTGCAGGGCATGGGACTAACAGAAACTCTCAGGGGATACCTGGGGGCAATAAAATGTTCTCAGCACCAGGCAGCTTCCTCAGCTCCTGAGGACTTCCCTGTGGGGTGGCAAAGCCCCACCCCCTCCCCAAAGGGGCATTTGCATAGCACTTAGCACAGCCTTAAGGAAATGTCCCAAATGTCCACATCAAAGCCTGGAGTACCTGCTGTGCAAGACAGGAAGGAAGGCTGCAGGGTTTCCTAGTGCCTGCCCTCAAATCTCCTGGATCCTGCAGCATCCGAGGGCTGCCCAGCCCCCAGCAACACTAGAGAAAGTTGTGGCGGGACTTGGAGACAGCCCAGAGGAGGACCCAACCCACTCCCACTTTCCATGGAGGCCACTGATCATCACCAGTTTTATTGCCTTCCACTGCACTCAAACCTGAAGCACCCTGAGGTAGGAGGGTCCTGATGCTTTCCACACCCCTCCCCGGAGCCTCACCCACCTCCCACCTGGCCTGGAGACAGTACCTTTGTCCAGGACGGGCCCGAAGATGGCCAGGCTGTCATCTATGGTGGTGCAGTTCCAGCGGCGGCCCCGGAACTGATGCTGGCACTCCTGGATGCCCAGCTTCACACCTTCGGCCACACTGGGCATGATCTCGATGTAATTGCGGCAGAAACGCAGTTGCTTGGGGACCAGGCCTGGGATGGAGCCGCAGAGCAGAGGCTGTGAGCCCAGAGATGTGTACTGCTGGCCCAGGGCCAGCGACCTGTGGGCAGACAGAGGGAGGTAGCACAGTAGACACAAAGCACATGGCCCAGCATGGGCTTCACTTCATGACCCTCTGGGGTAGGTGGAGGAATGGAGGGCCTGTGGGCCTCAACTTAAGGCCCTAAGAAACCTGGCATCTGCGTGTGCCACCTTTGGCTTCCTGGGAGCAAAACTGCCCCTCAAAGGGCAGAGCTCTGATCCAAGCAATGTCAGCTCCTAGCATAGACATATCATAGCCACAAAAAGGACCCTGGAGTGGAAAGATGGAATTTGGGACCCAGATCTGGACCCATTTTCCCTGACAGGTGTTGAAGGGGTCTGACTCTGCGCTCTTCTGGGAATTCAGAATTTGAGGGCCACATGGAAACTTCCAGAGATTCCTGGAAAAGAAGCCAAAACTAAAGAGAGGAAACCACAGAGGCTCATTTGACCCCAATTTATCTCTGAAAAATCAAAGAAGCATCAGTCCCAGCAGGGAGTCAGTATACATGTACACACACACACACACACACACACACACACCGCTGCAGTGCTCGTCAGCCTCTTCCCTAGAGGCTGCATGCTCAGTCTTACTCCTGCCTGTGACTCCCCAGGGAATACATGACCATCTTTCCAGTTCCCTGGAAGTTAGTGTGCCACCTCTCCTCTCACCTGGGCTATTTAGACCTCAGCTCTCCCCCCATACTATATGACATGAATCAAGCCACCTCAGTCTTTGCCCCTCATTTTTCAATCAGTATCCTGTCAATCTCTCGAATTTCAGAGTCTTGTAGGGAAGGGGTGGATAGGCAAATAGAATATATTAGAAAGCCAAGGAACTGTGGGAATCTCCACCATTCCCTCCCTCAGCACAGGAACAGTAGAAACAACATTTTGAGGGAGAAGCAAAGAAAATGATCAGTAGGTCTCAGTGTGTTTCAAGGTCAATTGTGATCAGTCATTTGTGATGGGGGCAGAGTGAGTAGGAAGAAGGAGCAGCCAGGGGTCATCTCTTCTTTTGAGTCCATCACCTACCAAGCCTTGAGAAAGGGGGTCCAGGAGAAGACCCCAGGGGTGGGTCAGGATAAAGCACACAAAAGCTTTCTGGGCGTGGCACCAGGAAGAACCCAACATCTGCCATCTATGGACTCTTGCTATGTGCCTGGCACTCGGGATGCAACAGACGCGGTCAGTTCTTGAGTGAGAGGAGCATTTCCTCTCCCAGGTGCGGAAACAGGGCTTCGCAGAGGAACGAGCTCCCCCAAGGCATTTTGGTGCCAAGTCTGTGGCAGCTCAGATTATGCTGTTTGCTGCCTTCCCCAATCCTTCCCTTAACCTTGGGCTAGCTCCTGGTTTCAGTCAGTTGACAGAGATTCTAAGGGAAGGGGCTCTCCAGGACCCCAGAGGTGTGCGCCTATCCGCCCTGGGCTGCCTCTGGGAGAAGCGGGCCCTCAATTATTCCACTGATTTAACTTGGAGGAGGAAACCAGGGAATGAAGTCTGGGAGTTCAGATGGTGGCACTGATGTGGTCTCAACCACTGAGCCCTTTCAAAGAGAAGGAAGGAGGAGCCAGAAGTTGTGGCTTGTCATTGATAATGGCTAATTACCGACTTCCTCTGTGCCAGGCTGAGCCCTTTCCTTGGGTAAACCTCATTTAATCCTTATAACAACCTAAGACAGAGTAGGGTCATTACAAGCAGCCCTGTTTTCACCGACGGCTTAGCCCAGACCACAGAACAACTAGAGAGTCATGGAACCTGAGAACATTATGTAAAGTGAAATAAGCCAAACTCAGAAAGTCAAGGGTCAGATTTTTTTTTCCTCATATGTGAAAGCTAAAGAGGAGGAAAGAAAAGACAGGTGGGGGGATCTTATTAAAAGGGAAGGGAAGGCTGGGGTTGTGGCTCAGTGATAAAGCGCTTGCCTCGCATGTGTGGGGCACTAGGTTCAATCCTCAGCACCACATAAATAAATAAACAAACAAACAAACAAACAAACAAATAAATAAAGGTATTGTTTCCATATACAACTAAAAAAAAATTGAAGAGAGATCAGTAGAATTGAGGAAAGGGACCAGGGGGAGGGAGGAGAGGAGGGAAAGGGGAAATCTTGGGGAATGATATTGACCAAATTATATTACACTGTGTGCACATAAGAACATCAAAGTCCACCTTTACATACTACTAAAGCACCAATAAAAAATGTGGGGCGGGGGAAAGAGTCACCCATTGGAACCCAGCTGCCTGATTCCAAAGTCCTGAGGGCAAACCGCTTACCACCCTGCCTCTTGGGTCCTGAGGGCTCTGGATGGCCTTGGGCCTACCTGTCTGCACCATGGGCCTCAGCCCTGAGCCCACACCTGAGTAGGGGAGCCCAGGTCCCTGATGGGCATGTGGCCCATGCACCGCTTGACAGGGTGCTGCAGATCATCCTCCCCCGCCCCATTTATATTAATAACCAGAGCAATCAAATATCTGTGGTTTGTCGGGTGCCCACTTTGGGCCAGACAGTTTTGGGTGCTTGTGTTTGTTGCCTTATTTAATCCTCACAAGTTGGTGAGGTGGGAATGTCAGCATCATCACCATCATCCCATTTCATAGATGAGGAAACGGAAGCCAGGGAGCTAAGTAATCTGCCTGGGTCTGCAGGACTGTAAAGCACCAGAACTGAGCCTCCCTCCAGTGCTTCAGATCAAATCCATCCTGGTGCTCCTGACCAGCGTGTCCAGTGTCCAGCCTGCCCTGCAGGGGCAACTGGCCATCACTAGAAAAGAAAACCGAATGAGGGCTCGGGGTAGTGGGCTTGGCACAGCACGGTTCCATAACTCACCATCCCGAGTTGTTTTCCTTCTTCCCTCCAAACCCTGCTTCCTTCCTACTGCCCAGCTCCAACCAACTGTGCGCCCAGAAACAGTCTGCCACAAGTCACATCCAGCCTGCCACTTCCAGCCTGCTCATCTCAAGCAATTCCCTCTCCATGCCTCAGTTTCTTCATCTACAAAATAGACCTAATGGGGGAGGAGTGAATGGTATAATCCAGTGCCTGGCACATAGGAAGCCCTCCAGAAATGGTGGTCAGTTACCGTGTGTCCCTGCCTTGTCACCAACCACATTCTTCCCATCAATGAATCTCTGACATCAGAATTTCCAAATCCCCTTCCCATCTACCCTCGGAAGGACGCCCTGGATCAAAGCAAAGGCCCAGCCCCAGCAGCGCCGTCCTGACAGGGCTGGCTGGACAAAGACCTTCATGATCTGGCTGGGTGTTAAAGGTAACCAAAGGGCAAGGGCATGAGGACATTTCCAGGATGCTCCACTCAAAAGTTCTAACTCGGATCTGGACATCCTGCCGGTAATTAGCAAGGGCCTCTGGGGATGAAGATTTAGCTGTGGCCCATGGGACTGATTTCTGCAGGATCACACGCCACCCCTGACCTGAGCTCCTGCCCACACACTGCTGTGTGTGACATTCTACCTCGGCCACCTCTGGTTGCCATTACTGAAGCACATGTGCCCCTGGGAGAGGAAACACAATGAGACTCTTTTCCCTCAAAGCTTCCTACCCATCCGTGAGGGGCTATGATCAGATTCACCTGCTGCTTCCCACCTCCAGGGCTTCACCACCTCAACCTTTGCACCCTTTGGGCAAACATCTTCCCCATTCTTCAAAACCAGATTCCTGGGTCACCTCCATTCTAAAGACTCTGCCAGGCTCCCAGCCAGAAGTAACCTGTCCTTGTTCTGTAGGTTTTCTGTTCCATGTTCAAACCTTATCACAAAGTGCTCCACTGATTTCTTTCCAATTTCATCTGCCTGGGCTAGTGGAACTGCCCTAAGGATAGGGAGGGGTGTGTCTCCTCGGCCAAGCCACACACACACACACACACACACACACACCAGCACACTTGGCCTTCCACGGGGCTGTGCACGTGATACCCACTTGCTGATACTCCAGAAGGAGAGGAACGTGCCCCCCACTCCCCAGGCTCCAGGCATCCGGAGGTGCCACCTACACACAGGACGAGACTCCCCAGTGCTGTTAAGGAAGTCCCAAGCTAGGATCTAAGATGATGGCCAGGCTCCCAAGGGAGCTGAGGACCTGCCTGGCACTAGCAGCTGGTGAGGGGGAGGCAGAGGGCCCTGCCAGGCCTTCCCAGCTGGGCCACGAGCTATTTATACCCAGCCCCTGCCCTGCCCTGCCCAAGGGCCCTGTGGCCTTTCCCTTGGGGCAGCTCATCCTCCACCCCAACCACCCACCGCCCAGCTGGACCCAGGATGGACACAGGCAGCCAGGCAGATGGGCAGCAGGTGCCAGCAAGCCATCGGCTGCTGCTGGAGACCTCGATGCTGACCTCCACGGTGAAATGGCCCCCGTCAAATAGGCCAGACTTAAAATATGTCCCCTGGCCTTATCAGACTCCTGTCACCCCAGTTCTTTGTCACTACATGGAGGACACCTTCTGTGACCAGAGGGTGGAGGGTAGGTCTGCCCAGTGAGCACAAGGCAGAGACAAAACGTTTAACCAAACAAGTCAGGTGGGCGCAGGCGTGGGATTGACTTGCACTTACAACATCGAGTGAGACACTGAGCAGAACCCCATGGTGTCCACGCTGCCTGGCCTGATGCTGGCGTTGCTGACACAGATTCTGCCTCCTCGAGCAGTGAGGGCACGCTGGCCATGCGTTGCATGGGCCATGCACTGTGCTGCTGTCACCACACTCCGCTCCATGACCCGTTAAGGTCTGGAGTCCTTTGCCCACCTGGGCAGCCTCCCCTGCACCCAAAGTTGGCGGTTTTTTAAAAAATACTTTTTATTTGCTTGTTTTACCTTAGAACCTTCCAGTATAGAATTTTAGAGATTGGAGGGACCCCGGGGGTCATCCAGTTCAGGTTCTCTCTTGTTTGTTGGCCATTTGTTTCCAAATGGGCTCATACCCAACCACCCTCCTCGCCCCTGTATGGAAAACAGATATGAAGAGGAGCCCTTTTCTCAAAAAGTTGAACAGAATTATCATAGG